TCACAGGTTTGTGTTCCATCCCCTCACAGGTTTGTGTTCCAGACCCCTCACAGGTTTGTGTTCCATCCCCTCACAGGTTTGTGTTCCAGCCCCTCACAGGTTTGTGCTCCAGACCCCTCACAGGTTTGTGTTCCAGACCCCTCACAGGTTTGTGCTCCAGACCCCTCACAGGTTTGTGTTCCCAGCCCCTCCCCAGCCTCGTTGCCTCCTCTGGACACACTCAAGTGTCTCAAGGTTCTTCCTAAACTGAGGGGCCAGAACTGGACACAGCACTGGAGGTGTGGCCTCACCAATGTCAGGTACAGAGGAGGAATGACCTCCCTGGTCCTGCTGGCCACACCATTCCTGACCCAGGCCAGGAGCCCCTGGCCTCTTGGCCACCAGGGCACACTGCTGGCCCATTCAGCTGTCACTCAGTGCCCCCAGGTCCCTTCCTGCCTGACCTCTGTCCAGCCACACCATCCCCAGCCTCTAACACTGCAGGGGGACATTGTGGCCACACCTGCACTGGACACCAGGCTGACCAGCACCACACGAACTGGGTCCAACCAGGGAGTGTCCACAGCCAGGCTGGACAGGGCCTGGAGCAGCCTGGGGTAGGTGGAGCTGATCCCCACCTTGTCCCCATCCTGTCACTGCTTGGACACCCCAAACCTCCCTGGGCAGCTCCTGCCCCACCCCTCCCACGAGGAAATCCCACCTGAGCCCACCTTGAGGCTGTTCACACCTGTCCTGCCCCTGGGAGCACAACCTGACCCCACCCTCACACAAATCCTCCCCTGGAAAGTGCAAGGAGCTTCTGGAATTTTTATATTTGCACAAGAAATGGGATTAACTGCTTGAAGAGTTCCCAGAGAAATGGGGCAGAGGCAGGAGCTGGCCTAGTACTTATAAAATTATTCTTATATAACCCTGATCCTTAGGAGACAGCAGCAATTTGTGCTCCTACCTGCAGGATTTGATGCTTTTGCCTCTGTCCGTTCTCAGAAGCAGGAGGTCTCACAGCTTTCACAATATTGCTCAGGTCCACACCTGAAAGAGGAAATAAAACCAAGTTTAATATTAGTTCCAGGATAATCAGAGTCAAATAAACAGTGTTAGTTCCAGTTCTAGGCAAAAGCTGCCAAGTTAACCACAAAGATGAACAAAGATGAACTTGTTGTAAAGATGCTGAAATGTTCAATTCTGACTGGAAGGTCAAATTCAGCCTGGAACAAAGCTAGATGTCAGTTGAGGGGGGGAAAAAAGAAGGAATTTAATTTCACTGACCAAATTTTGCCCTCCAGCTTCCCTCTAAGCAGTTTTGCAGTCATAATTAATCCACAAAACCAGGTCAGCATTAATGGTGTCTCTGTTCCACTTCACAAAGGCTCCTTTCCAATACTCATAATCCATCTTGGCCTGCAGGATTCTTTTAAACCTTCAGATTCGTGAAAAGCCCAGCCTGTACCAATACCTTGGGACTCGAACTGCTGCACAGCTTCCCTCACAGCCTCCTCGGGGTCCATCTCAAACTCGGTGATGTTCTCCTGCACCGCATCGTCAAACGTCTCCTGGGCGATCTGCTTGGAGCCCATTTTCCTGGGATGGGATGGATCCAGCTCCGTGTCCTGCTGCTGAGACACCACAGCAAATTTCGGTGTGACACCTCCTAATGCCACCAGCGAACAAAGCAAAGGGCTTGTTCTTCCTCTGGATCTAAAATACACAAAGGCACGGCTGGTCTTTTATTTAAGGGAGAATATACGGTAGTTTAAAGGAATAAAGAGATATTCCAGCAGCATTTAGATGGGGGTTTAGCATCTGTCACCGGCTCTCGCTGCGGCACGGAGAGCACCGTGCCCGGTGACAGCCCCGGGCCCTCAGCCCGCCCTGCTCCGCTCCCCCGGGCCCCAGCGCATCCCACATCCCTCAGCAGGCCCCGCCAGCCTGCAGGACCCCATCCCGCAGCTCCCAGCTGCGGAGACAGCCCCGAAGGAGAAGCTGGAGAAGCTCCGGGCCGCACCCACAGCCCCGCTCCCCCTCACGACCCACCTGGGCTCCGGCGGCCGCCGGACAAAAGGAGAGCGCGGCTCGGCCCCGCTCGGCCACCGTACGCTGGCCCCGCCCCCTCTGCGCATGCGCCGAGACCCAAACTCGCGCTGCTCGCCCTCGGGCCGAGCGAAAAAGAGCGCGGGGCGCCACAGCGCGCATGCGCAGCGCTCCCGCAGCCGGCCGCTCCCACGCACGCGCCCGCAGCGCAGCGGCCGCTCCCCTCGCTCCCGTTCCGCTTACCGGCAGCGCGCCCGCACCGCCTGCAGGGGATGAGGCGGCTCCTCGCGGCGCAGGCGCGGCGGGAGGGGGCGGGGGTCGGGGGCGTGGTCGGTGTGAGGGAGAGGGCGCGGTTTTACCGTTTTGGGGCGTGGCTTAGAACGGGGCGTGGCCAACCGTGGTCACCGTGAGGTCCGGGAGCTGCGGAGGGGGCGTGGCCAGCGGTGAACGGGGCGTGGCCAGCGGCAGCTGCGGTGTGGCGGGACCGCGGCCTCAGTGAGGGAGAAGCGGCTCCGTGAGGGCGGGCTCCGTGAGGGCGGCCTCGGTGAGGGCGGGGCGGGCTCCGTGAGGGCGGGCCCGGTGAGGGCGGCCTCGGTGAGGGCGGGGCGGGCTCCGTGAGGGCGGGCCCGGTGAGGGCAGGGCCGGGCTCGGTGAGGGCGGGCCGTGGCCTCCGTGAGGGCGGGCCCGGTGCGGGGGGGGCGGCGGCCTCCGTGAGGGCGGGCCCGGTGAGGGCGGACCGCAGCCTCGGTGCGGGAGGGGTGAGCCGGGCCCGGTGAGGGCAGGGCCGGGCTCCGTGAGGGCGGGCCGCAGCCTCGGTGAGGGAGGGCCGGGCTCGCTGAGGGCGGGCCGGGCTCGGGCTCCGCTCCCGCTCCGGTTCCTCCTCCCGGCGCTGCTCGGGGGGCGGCGGGGAAACGTGAGGGGAGCTGAGGCTGCGCCTCTCCTCAGGCCGCGGCGGGACCCCGCGCCAGGCCGTGCCGTGCCGTGCCGTGCCCGGGCGGGGGCCGTGCCGTGAGGGGAAAATGGCCTCTCGCAGAATCACCCGTGAGACGTTCGAGGCCGTGGTGCAGGATAAAGTTAAACGGTACCGCATGGAGCGGAGCGATGCCGCGGGGGACTCCTCCATGCATCGTTTCAAAGGTAAAGGGGAAAAAAAAAAAAATAGCGGGATGATGGGAGCAGCTTTCGTCGCCTGCCATTTATTTGCCTGGTGCTGGTGTTTTTCCACATCCGTTTTTATGGATGTGGAACAGCTGGGTGAGGACTGACAGCGTAAAGGGGTGAAAAAAATGGGAATTCAGACAAAGGAATTCTCTTCAGCATCAGAGAGTGGGTCCGATTTCAGCCTGGTCTCCAGGGACGTTGCTGCAGGATGGAATTCTGGTGATGGCTGATAAGTTAAATAAATGTCGGAATGTGCTGGATGGGTCTTTGTGTTTGGTGTTATTTTTGGGGATAAAAGCTCAAAGCAGGGCATTGACCTCATGAACATAACGCAAAACGTCATCCCTAAATTATTTTACCTCCTAAATTTGAGATCTAGAATGTCCAGCAAGACACTTGGATTGCATTCACAGGCATGGATGTAGGAGAGCTTTAAAATGAAATGTTATTTTTAGAGTTGTATGAGCCCTGAAGAAATAATTTATATTAAACGCTTCCATTTTTTCCAAGTGTTCTTTACTTTCTGAATTGAACTTCTGGGATTGGGGATCAAGGATCTTGGCTAATGAGAAATACCAGAATTCCCTGCAAGAATGAGATAATTGTGGTTGGGTTTGTGGAAGATCCAGGTTTCTGTGGAATTCCTTCTGGGAGTTCTCTGGGTGACAAGGTGGGGATTGGCCAGATCTTGGAGTTGATGGTCTTGGACATCAACAATTTGAATTCTGGGAAGAGCTGAAAGTTCAGGCTTTTGATGGGTTTTATACCAGTAGAGGATCAAGATTTGAGAAGGCGATGAGCAAAGAAAAATTTGAATTAGAGAAGTTGAGCTTCTGTAGAAAATCAAGACTTGGGAAAGCAATTAAAAATTTAAATTAGAGGAGAACTTGAACTCCTGTAAAAAATCAAGACTTGAGAAAGCGATGCACAAAAAATATTGAATTAGAGGAGAAGTTGAGCTCCTATAGAAAATCAAGACTTGAGAAAGCAATGCACAAAAAAATTTGAATTAGAGGAGAAGTTGGGCTCCTGTAGAAAATCAAGACTTGAGAAAGTGATGAAAAATTTAAATTAGAGGAGAAGTTGAGCTCCTGTAGAAAATCAAAACTTGAGAAAACGATGAGCAAAGAAAAATCTGAATTAGAGGATTCAAATTCAAATTGAATTGAGCTCCTCAGTGTGTAGGGATTGGAATATGGGAATGGGAGTATCCTCAAGTCTGGTTTCCTTCAGAATTTTTGACATTTTGGCTCTTTTAAACCTGTTTTGACTCTTTTTGAATCCGTTCCCTTTGCCCAGCTCACTCCAGGCCGCTGCCCCGGCCCCGCTACAACGACGACGGGCGTTTCCCTCACGCCAACTCCCAGCACGAGGACTGGAGCGAGGATCCCAGGGAAGATTATCCCATGGAAGAATATCCTGGAGAAAACTACCCTGGCCCTTCCTACCGCCCCAGCAGCCCCCTGCTCCGCAAGGAGAATTATTTCCACGGACAATTCGCCCGCCCTGCGCCCCGCGAGCGGGAATTCGGCCGCGATTACGGGCGCCCCGCTCCCCAAAACCGGGAATTTGGGCGTGGAGGTGGCCCCAGCAGGGAGTATGGGCAGCACCCCGCTCCTCACGGCCGGGAGTACGGACAGCAAAACCGGGAATACGGGCAGCAAAACCGGGAATACGGGCGGGACAGGGAGTACGGGCAGGATTACGGCCCCTCGGATTGCTGGGAAGGGCCGCACGAAGCTGAGTTTGGCTCCTCGGATGTTTTGGGGGATTTCAGGTCACCTGGCTTGATGGAGGAGGAGTTTGGCAGCGTGGAAAATCAGGAATATGAGGAGGAGTTCGGGGCGGCCGATGCCGAGTTCCGGCCGCCGCCGCACAGGGGGGGCGTGGGCAGGGGGAGAGTGCTGAGGGGGAAACGCCTCAGCAGGGGGGTGGTGAAACCCAAAGTGTTCAAAGGAGACCTCAAAAGCCCCCTCAAGAAGTGGAACATGAAGAAAGCACAGCCAGGCCTGGATGCCAAAGCTCTGGAGCAGCCTCTGGAAGTCGCCAACCAGAGGCCGGTGCCCCTCCAGCAGCACCCCAAGCTGCCCCCCTCACACCCTCTGGCAGCACAGAGACCCATCCTGAGGCTGCCAAAACCCACCCACGTCTTCAGGAACCTCAACTTCGACCTGGTGGATAAATCTGACATTTTCTCCACCTTTGGTATTGAGATCATCAAGTGGGCCGGGTTCCACGCCATCAAGAACGACGCCGAGTTCTCGCGGCTCTTCGGGGCCCTCTTCGAGCTGGAGACTGAGACCTGTGCCAAAATGTTGGCATCCTTCAAGTGCTCCCTGAGGCCAGAGCACAGAGATTATTGCTTCTTCACCATCAAGAGCCTGCAGCACGCCGCCCTGAAAACCCCCAAGGTGGACAACGAGTTTTTGAACATGCTGCTGGACAAGGGGGCTGTGAAAACCAAGAATTGCTTCTTTGAGATCATCAAACCTTTTGATAAATACATCATGAGGCTCCAAGACCGCCTCCTCAAGGGGGTGACCCCGCTGCTCATGGCCTGCAACGCCTACGAGCTGAGCATCAAAACCAACGGCTTTGGCAACCCCAGGGAAATGGCCAACGCCTTCGAGACCACCGTGTCGCTGTGCCGAAAATCCCTGGCTCTGCTGGGCCAGACCTTTGCTCTGGCCTCTGTTTTCAGGCAGGAGAAAATCCTGGAGGCTGTGGGGCTGCAGGAGATGGCCCCAGCGCCGACGGCGTTCCCGAATTTCGACGACTCCACGCTGTTCGGGAGGGAGTACATTGAGAATTTGAAGGCGTGGTTGGAGAAGAGTGGATATCCCATCCAGATGAAGAGGGCTGGGGCAGAATCCACAGAGCAGCTGAAAGCAGCCTCTCCTGACACCAAAGGTAACGGGGAGGGAGATGTGTTTCATTTTCATGGGTTTGTTAGGGCAGGAATTCCTGACTGTGGGAATTCCAGTAGTGATGGGGCAGGGAGGGAATTCCAGGTGAATCCCAATCAGGACTGGGCAGGGAGGAAACTCCAGGTGAATCCCAATCAGAACTGGGCAGGGAGGGAATTCCAGGTGAATTCCAATAATTGATGGGGGCTGGGAGGGAATTCCAGGTGAAGCCCAGTCAGGACTGGGCAGGGAGGGAATTCCAGGTGAATCCCAATAATTGATGGGGCAGGGAGGGAATTCCAGGTGAAGCCCTGGAATGTTGGAGTTTTTTTGGTGGAATCATCTCCTTCCTTCTCTTCCTTCCACCTGTTCAGACCTTAAATCCAAGATTTTCACCCCAGTTTCACCACCTCAAAGCAGGGAGGCCAGGACCAACCTGGAAATAACTTAATTACAGAGTAAATATTTGCATATATGCAAATAATCAGATCCAGGTGCATTCCTTTGGAGATGTTCATATCCCTGGGTTTTTTCCTAATTATCTTGGGTTTTTTTCCCTAATTCATCCTGGTTTTTTTCCTTAATTCTTCCTGATTTTTTTCCTGATTCATCCTGATTTTTTTTCCCTAATTTATGCTTCTGGTTATTTTTTTCCTATTCTTTCCCTAATTCCTATTTTTTCCCAATTCTTCCTGTTTTTTTTTTTTTCTCTAATTCTTCCTGGTTTATTCCTAATTCTTCCTGGTTTTTTCCCCTAATTCTTCTTGGTTTTTCCCTAATTTTTCCTGAGTTTTTTTCCCTAATTCTTCCTGGGTTTTTTCCCCAATTCTTCCTGAGTTTTTTTCCCTACTTCATCCTGTTTTTTTTTCCTTAATTAATCCTTGTTCTTTCCTCCATTCTTCCTGATTTTTCCCCCTAATTAATCCCAATTTTTCCCCCAATCCACCCTGTTTTTTTCCTGATTGAGCCTCAGGTCCTTTCTCAGGGAGGTTCTGCAGCACTGACACAGAATGGTTGGAAATTTATCACCCAGCCCTTCACACAAACTGATTTTCCACAAAATCCTTTTGCTGCATCAAGAAAATTCCCTTTTTAAGGATGGTTCCACTTGCCCAGGGTGCCCATGGATCTGTTTTTTTACACCAGGATGTTTTTAATAACAAACAGGTGCAGAATCTCAGTTAAAATGTGGATTTTCCCTGATTTATTTCAGTTTGGGATGGATGCTCTGGGCCAGTTCGGGTGAAACAACAAAATGTGAAATTCCAAAATGTGAAAACATCAAAAAAACCCAACCCAAAATCCACCTGAATTTGGGATCCCCAAATTTCCCTCCCCACCCTGAAATTCCATTTCCTCCTATAAATACCTGCAAAAATTACAAATATCAATTATGTGAAAACACCAAAAAAAACCCCAACATTACAAAAATTACAAATATCAATTATGTGAAAACACCAAAAAACACCAAAATTTCAAAATTTACAAATACCAATTGTATGAAAACACCAAAAACCCAAAATTTAAAAAATGACAAAACACCAATTGTGTGAAAACACCAAAATCCCAAAAATTACAAAATTTACAAATACCAATTGTATGAAAACACCAAA